GACAGGCAGAGGAACACATCAAGAACTCTTTGGACTTGGTCACTAAGATCCGAGAGGTGACACTCGAAGATGGAGAGGTACTCACATCTTTCGATGTCACAGCCCTCTTCACTAGTGTTCCAGGGAAGGAGGTCGTCGGGATGGCAGTTAGTAGAGCAGAGAAGGATCCCACCTGGAAAGATCGCACCTTGTTAACCCCCAAGGAATTTGGTGAGCTCCTCCTCCTGGTGGTTAGCACTACGTACTTTCAGTACAATGATGTGATCTACGAACAGACCTTTGGCATGGCGATGGGTTCTCCATTGTCCCCTGTGTTAGCGAACCTGTTTATGGAGGAGTTCGAGAGGAAAGCTCTACACACTGCTCCACACCGCCCCAAGTTCTGGGGGAGGTATGTAGACGACACCGGCGTTGTGAACAGACAGGAACATGAACAGGAACTCTTCGATCACATCAACACACAGCATGACAGTATCAAGTTCACTATTGAGAGGGAACAAGACAACCGTCTCCCTATGCTGGATGTCATGATGGTCAGGAATCCAGACAACACCATCACTACAGATGTGTTCAGAAAAGAAACCCACACTGACCACTATTTACAGTGGTCCTCCAACCACCCGGTGCAACAGAAGCTTGGGATAGTTAGGACTCTTATGCACAGAGCCAACACCCTCATTGAAGATCCCGCGTTGAGAGAGGCGGAAAAGGAAAAAGTCAGAGTAGCCCTCAGACACTGTGGATACCCAGAATGGGCCCTGAGGGAGGGGGAAAACAACTCCAGAAAGGATAAAAGTAGCAAGGAACAGAGTAAGACTGGAAAACAAGAACAACTCCCAGCGAGTTACGTGGTTCTACCCTACATACATGGAGTTACAGAGAGGTTGAAACGTGTATATGCAAAACACAATGTGAGCCTGTACTCCAAACCGGGCTTCACCTTACGTAATGCCCTTGTGAGACCCAAGGACCCTCTAGCACCTGGTGAGAAGTGCGGTGTGATCTACAAGATCAAGTGTGAAGAGTGCGGGGAGGTTTACGTTGGTGAAACTGAGCGGTCACTGGGGGAAAGGACTTCTGAACACCAAAAGTCATTACACCAGAAAGACTGCAAATCTGCGTTAAGTCAACACCAACTCCAGGCTGGTCACAACATCACTACCGGGCCCATCTCTGACATTATTGAAATCATAGACCAAGAGTCTCGTAACCCACATAGGAAGATTAAGGAAGCGGTGCACATACAGTTGGAAGGTGCCAAGCTAAACCGGACAGAAGGTTGGGAGCTCCCCAAGACTTACTTACCCTTACTTCGGAGGGAGGCGACGGGGGGTGGGACCCGACAGACCGATGCAAGTCTCGGGCCTAGTCTCGCGCTCTCGCGAGATTAGGCCACTCCGTGAACAAGATGGACTGATAGCCATCGAAAATTTGGAGGTTAGTATCCTTATCCTTCCAAAGTTGTCACTGATAAAAGAATTCACTAGGAACTGGTTGAAGATAATATCACCATGACATGCATTGTGTACAAGTCAACCTTGATCAAATGCAACAATTTCTTTCATGAACTTTTTTCATGAACTTTTTTGTCTTTTTCACAAAGTGTCACACCTACGATGCCCTGGTTCTCTCCACTGAGTCTACGGTCTGTATTTATGGGATCATCAAGGAGGTGCCAGCTGGGCAACAGGTGAGGTGCTAGCAGGGAAATGAAAGGCAGGGAATCAGATACTGGTTGATTAATAAAGATATAGTGAAAAGTTGAAAAGAGAATGTTCAGATACTCTGCTGGTAGACTAGACTCATGTACATTAACCAACTTACTTGGGATACCAGGGATCAGGATGTGAAAACTTGGGCTGGGGACTGAACTTAGTCTGGGCAACTCACCTGATGGAAGTGATACGTTTTCTATCCATGAAGTTCCTTTAGATAAAAAAACTTAGGTATACGTAGGTGAAGCTGTGAAATGTAGGTGAAATTGTGCTACTGCGGTATTGTAATGAAAGATGAGTTAACCTTTAACCTCTTCCCCCCAGGCCCCAGGAGGTCATGAGCTTCATGCAGACTACTGGGAGCTGATTGGTCTGGCCCCTCCTGGCGGGGCGGATAACCTCATCAACGAGGTGGGTGGGGAATACAGGACAAGGATTTATAGTTTACTTTTGCTGAAGGAAAACAGATATTGCTGTCCTCCTTCTGCAAACACATAAGTCATAAGGTCAATGACTTGGCCCAGATGACTGTTACCATGGTAACTAGTGCTGTATTAGACACCCTGAGGTGTTGAGTTACATTATGTAGCAGGAGTGTTGAAGGGGCTAACTTACTAGTAAGTATGGGTTAACTTACTACCTTCCCCCCATTCTAGGAATCCCATGTTGATGTGCAGCTAGACAACAGGCATATGATGATCAGAGGAGAAAATGTAAGTACATTTGTCAATGTGTACACTGTATTTTCTTACTCGTACATTAGGCCTAGGAAAAAAGGTTGTGTTTCTGATTTCCTGACTGACCGTAGCAAAAACCCACTGACCCTAGCCTTCTTTTGAGTCCTGGCATGGCCATAAACTTTAAATCTGACATCTGGAGTTTAAATCCTCTGAAAGGTTATTTCACACATTTTCATCAGGTTCATCAGGAGTAATACATGTATTTTGCTGTTGCAGATGTCTAAGGTGATGAAGATGCGCTCAGTGGTCATGCAGTGCTTCCGGGAACACTACTTCAACAGGGGATACTGCGAGGTCAGGACAGTTGCCTTCATTCCTGTTTTTTTACTTTGCAGAAGAAAAACAAATCTTCTCCAACAGTGTTCGAAATACCTGTCTGCAGTCTGCAATCTGCAGATAGATTTTCAAGATTGCAGAAGAAAAATTTATACAATCTGCAATTTTGCAGAAGGAAAAATAGACTCCAGATTCAATAGTTTTCAATTTAGCAAACTAGCACTCTCAGGTCCTATCAAGGACAGACCACACTTGAGCTCCTGTTCTGAAACAACAGGAGCTTCTTCACTAATTTGCATCGTCCTTGTCTTGACTTGTCTATCTTTTGTTTCCTTTTTGACTTCCAAAAATTTGTCTTCACTTTATTTGCATATCAATCAATAGTTTTTGCTTATAAACCTGCAGTTCTCCTTCAGTCTCTTAGTGTCACTGATGAGAAATGTAATAGTCTGACAATTTTAGGTAGCACCAAAATTATATAGAGCTACTTAAGTAACTGTTTTTTTGTGTGTCTTTTATTAGTATGTTTTAGTATGTTTTTGCAGAAAGTATTTCCAAATTGCAGAACAAAATTTTGACTCTTCTGCAATATTGCAGAGCACGGAAAAAAAGTATTTCGGCCACTGTCCAAAGAAATACCGGTAATGTCAATGACCTGGACCATGTGAGGTAAACTTGGCTCTTCAACCATTGTTTCATTGTTTAATTTTCCCCAACAGGTGACCCCTCCCACCCTAGTGCAGACCCAGGTGGAAGGTGGCTCCACCCTTTTCACTCTCGACTACTTTGGAGAACAGGTAAGACTTGATCTTTGTGCTGCTTTAGAAAAGGGATTTTCTGTTGTTGAATACACATCGGTAGGACATACGGCACCTGCACAAAACCATAATGTATTGTGCGTATAGCACTTCTACAGAACATATTGTTTAATTTACTTTTAAGGCTGTCTTCACGTATATTAAATGGTGACATCCTGTTGTTTTCAAATGTTGTATCGGAAAAGAAATTCTGATGCAACATTGAGACAACAAAATCTATAAAAGTATGGGTTTCACACAGGCACAGTTCTTTCACACAGGCACAGTTCTTTCTGCTGTTACAACCATTGCTTCTGTTGACCTCTACAATGTACATGTATGTTGATGTTGTATTTTGCAGGCCTACCTGACCCAGTCCTCCCAGCTGTACCTGGAGACATGTCTACCCTCCATGGGAGACGTCTTCTGTATTGCAGAGTCCTACCGAGCTGAGCTGTCCCGCACACGGAGACATCTGGCAGAGTAGGTTCAGCCTGCATGGTTTTAGTCCGTTTTAAAAGTACTGTAGACGTACTCTAGAAGACTAGTGTACAATGTATATAATTGCTGGACAATTAACCTGTAAATACTAAGTGTCTGTCTTCTCTATCTGTCACTACCAATGGATGATAAGCTCTTCAGTGAGCTAAAATTGGATTGAGATCACTTTTCCTCTACCCCCCAGATACACCCATATAGAGGCGGAGTGTCCCTTCATCAGTTTTAATGACCTGCTGGACCGTGTGGAGGACCTGGTGTGTGACACCGTGGACCGTGTCATAAACTCACCCTTCGGCAACCTACTGAAGGAGGTCAACCCGGTAAGACATTTTACCTGTCAATGAAATGTCAGTCTGTTTTCCAAAAATAGTTTCATCAGGTTGGGAGCACATAGCATAAACCTTTGTTACTGGTAATTTGTACTTGTTCCAGTTCAGATAACCTTTTTTGGTGTGAAGGCAATGACAGCCGATGATATGTAAAAGGTGAAAATTTTTTTTAACAGGACTTTCAAGCCCCCAAGCGTCCCTTTAGGCGGATGAACTATGCAGATGCCATCAAGTACCTAAAGGAAAATGACATCAAGAAGGACGATGGCAGCTACTATGAGTTTGGAGAGGCAAGTAATCTGACACAATCTCTTCCAAAAAAGACTAATAGACTCGTGGATATACCGACTTCTAACTTATTAATAAGATGTACAGAATGGTGACTGAACTCACTAGTAACAGAGATGTTTAAGACTTCATTTTATACATTTTATTTCACACTAATTTTTATCTTTGTTCATTAGGACATTCCTGAGATGCCAGAGAGGAAGATGACTGATAAGATTAATGAGGTAATGTTTCTTTAACAAGTGTCTTAATTTTGCTAAGTGGTCAAAACATCAAATTATTTCAGGCAAGTTGCCTAGGCTTAGTCAATGACATAGTTTAAGATATATTGAATTTACTATAGTTGGCTGTATTTTCTCTACATGCAAGGGTTGAATGTTACCTGTGTTTATACAGCTTTCAGTGTGTCTTTGGTGATAACTATTATCTGTTTTCCCATGTTGCAGCCCATCCTGCTCTGTCGGTTCCCAGCTGAGATTAAGTCCTTCTACATGCAGCGGTGTGAAGAGGACAGACGTCTTACAGAATCTGTAGGTTTCTCAGATCTTGTGCTTGCCACTGTTAAAATACCTGCACTGGTGCAGGTAACATTGAAAATTACCTGCAACCAGACAAAATTTACTTGCACTACATGTAAATTTGCCTTGAGTTTGAGTTCAAATTTCTTCTTTTGTTTATTTTTTCACAGATCTGTTGCCCTTCTAGTAAGTGTTACTGCGAGACTTTAGAACAATGATTTCTTGACTACCTCTGTCACAGGTTGACCTGTTGATGCCAGGTGTGGGAGAGATTGTTGGTGGGTCCATGAGGATCTGGGACTATGAGGAACTGTTGGAGGGGTACAAGAGAGAAGGCATCGACCCCACACCGTACTACTGGTACACTGACCAGGTAAGGAGAGTGTAGGGTTTTTTTAACAAATTTCTTTTGAAGTACAAAACGTAAAAAAATATTATTCTTTGTCTATGGAATTTGTTGAGCAATCTGATATTTGGTCACTCATTGGTCACACAGCAGTTCACTCAGGAATTGCATCCTTGAGTAAAAAAAAATACCATGCAAAATGCAGAATGAAAGGGATCTATACTGTATGTGTACATCACATATGTGCCTCCTCTAATTTCTTTTCATCATAATCCATCCAGAGAAAGTTTGGCACCTGTCCCCACGGTGGCTATGGGCTGGGCCTGGAACGCTTCCTCTGTTGGATGATGGGTATTCACCACATCCGTGATGTCTGCCTGTACCCACGCTTCATCGAGAGATGTCGGCCTTAGAAAACTCGCGCCTGTCTTGAACCCTGCTTCATGGAGACACAGGCATTTTCTCAGGCAGTTCTGATTATGCACCATCTAACGAATTCCAAAAATACGTATTTGGAAATAATACAATATAGCTAGCATGCATGTGAATTTGTCCGAGCTACGTTACAAAACTTGATGAAATGATCCATTATGTATGTTACATGTACTTTCAAACTCTTCTTGTGTATTGCAGATCTTGTGAGAGAATTGTTGGGACTCAGATGGAGAAATTAAATGTTCTCATTTCATTACGTCCAAATAGCAAGCTATCTGATGCCAAGTAGAAATAAAACAAAATATTGGCTACCAAATGGAACCATAACTTGTCTAATTCGCACTTCTACTATTGACAGCCAATTGACTGGCAAATGAGCCCAGAGATACTAGTAATGCAGGCTACTAGTATATGAAACATGTTGAAAGCCTGGAAGATAGCCAGGTTTATGCAACTCCAAACTTGAAATTTGTATGAATGTACTGATGCACAGATTTGTGTATTCTTTACACCAATACCAATACCAATATTGATGTATTCTTGTGTTTTATATGATTGATCAGCTGGTATGTTTAAAAATTCATTTGTAAATGCATTTATTGTACATGTATTAACATTATTAGATAGAATTATATATGAGGTACATGTTTGACTTAATAAATTAGTAGATACATGTAGATTCCAATACAATCAATTCAGCTAAATACAAAGGGTAAGTTCACATCAAACTCCTAAATATACAATGTAACAGTTGGAAATGATGGTGTTTTAGGAGTTGAGTTTATTGCAAGGATTGCCAGGTATTGGACCAGGAGAGAAGCAAATTTTTTTTACTAATCATGGCTTTGAAATAACGTATATGTAATATGCATGATCGAGAAAAGTATGTTAGATTATGGTAGACCACCCTCTAGAGAAAATGTTATTGCACAGAATGGTATACTCTGTTGTTTGTTCTATGAACTCTGCCACAATTACAATAAAATAGAATTTGCATTATGTTGAATTGAAACCATGCATGTGCCTGTATTTATTGCAGTTTTCAGTCATGCAAGATTTAGTGTAGTTAGTCATTTATTACCCAAAACCCCCGCCAAATAAATGGACTAAACAATCGTAAACGCTGGTGGGAGAACCACCACAAAACGTTGGTGTGAGAGCTACAATGCACACGTGGGACTAGTCCTGCAAGTCCGTGGCATGTACATGTAGGTATACGAACACACATAGTATAAAGTTGGACTTTGTCTCTTTTATACGTTCAACGCCTTACTGTAGGAGTGGGTCTTACCTGTGCAAATAGACAACCAGCGCGCGCTCGAAACGCTTGAACGCCAAACCCGGAAGTAACGTTTACGTATATCCACGACCTGGCGACCTCGTAACTTGCTGACCGTACCCAAGATTTGCTCACAAATCACAGTGAGATACTATGGCTGATACGGATGGCAGGTAAGTCCAGCTTTCACTGCTAATGCCTCTCTTCAGTAATATTGACGTTCATACCAGAATATAATGTTACATGTGTAGTGTATTAAATGGGGGTGGGGAGGGGGGCGTGGCATTATCTACAGAATGACACAGCATAATGTTTTCAGGTAACGTTACGTGTAGCCATGGTGTAGCAAATACTTTCCAGAAGAGTGAAGATCAGTGAACACTATTGGCTAAAATTTTATATTGAGCGTCAATTTTGTACCTGGGTCCATTGTTATAAACACAAACATTGATTTGGGGTCCCCCATTAACCCATTATCCAGACACCTGCCGACATTTGTGGAGGGGTTTCATGATGTGAAGGCTGTGGGGAGGATGAAGTATGCCGTCCTGGGGAGCACGGGGCTGACCGTGTCACAACTCAGCTTTGGTAAGTAACGTTATGTAAAAGCTTGAGATTTGTATACTGTTGCACGTTGGCATAACGTACGCAATGCCTGTGCAAAATTGCTGCATTTTGGCTTTGATTTACATGTAAAAGATGACTTTCCGTCTATTTTGTTATCAAATGTAAAAGTATGAAAAGATCATCTCTGACAGGCAAAATCCTTATGCAACTTTGATCAAACATCCAACAAAAAATAAAAATCCAAGTTTCATGCACGCCCAGTAGTCATTTTAATTAATTTTTGCCAATGTGCAATAACTGTACTCCTGTATGTTCCAGGTGCATCATCTCTGGGCAGTGTGTTCCATGACACAGATGAGGCAGAGTCCATACAGGTTGTCCACAAGGCCCTGAGGAGTGGCATAAACTACATCGACACAGCACCCTGGTACGGGCACGGCAAGTCTGAAACTGTCCTCGGAAAGGTGGGTGCAAAACAACAAGTTACATTGTTACCAGACAACGAAATTAAAAGTTAATACAATTACTTGTTGCCTGGGGCTTATTGGCCTCCTTCTCAATGCCAGTCAGTTGGGTAGGACTGGGTCACTAGGAGTTTTTCAGGCTATTGTTAGGTGCACAGCTCATTATACATTAATAATTTGTACTTAGAGTTAGATAAACATTTGATTATGAAACATCTGTTTTCACCATTACTAAGAAATGAGAAGAAGTCTAATTCACTAAGTTGTAGTTACTTGACAATGTAATGTTATATAATTGTAACATTAATAATGTTATCTGTATTCTATTCTTCTGTTGTGACCTGTACTTAACCCAGTGGGTACTCTATATGTGTACAATAAAGCAAAAAAAGGTCTTCAGTTATTCATTATAGGGCAATAAAGCAAATGTCTTTATTCATTCATTATAGGGTGCACAAAAGTAAATAATGCATCCAGTATTAGCCCTGACAGCTGACAAGTCCCTCTCCTTCCACAGGCCCTGAAGGACATCCCCCGACAGTCATACTACCTGGCCACTAAAGTGTGCAGGTACGAGGCAGATGTGCACAAGATGTTTGACTTCAGTGCTGAGAGGACTCTGAAGAGTGTGGACGAGAGTCTTGCTAGGCTGGGACTGTCGTATGTGGACATCATCCAGGTACGGTACAGAGTTGTATATCATTTACATATCATATTTGTAGTCAAGCCTCAGCATCTGAGTGCAAACACGTCTAACCCTCAGTTTACGGGGAACAACAGACAATAAACCAGAGAGAGAGTCACTGTGTAACTTCTGACACATAGAATCCATTCATATTGATAGGTAGTAGTTAACCTGTTGTCATCTATTGTGGTTTGGGCAGGTTCCTGATGGGCCATCTACTAGTACACTTTAGGGAGCCCGCCCTGATTACGATAGACTGGACACCAGCTTAAGAGGCAGTCGGTCACAATAGATAGCCTGGTTGATACCAAACCTGATTTAGCTGCTGAGTCTCAATTGCGGAGAGGACAAAAGAGACTCGGTTGCTAAATCAGGTTTGATAATAACAATGGAAGTCCTTTAACTTCCCCTCAGGTCCATGACATGGAGTTTGCTCCCAGCCTGGACGTTGTGGTGAACGAGACCCTCCCCGCCCTGCAGAAGGTGAAGGAGTCCGGCAAGGCCAAGTTCATCGGCATCACGGGTTACCCCCTGGGCAACTTCAGGTGGGTTGTGAAGCTCTTGCATAATTGTATAGGTGCTAAGTACATCATGGGTTCATAAAGGATAGACCTCCAGATAATGGGATCCACAAGAAAACTGTTGCTCAAGTAGTGTTTTTTAAGAATCTATCTAGTTGGTTGAGTAATAGTTTTCGTGTGAATATAATTACATTTATGTATGATATTGTGTGTGTAGTAGAAATAGTGTCCAAATGGGATAAAGCAACCAAATCAAATCCATTTTAAATGACTCGGAGGGTTCAGAGGGGTTTGTCTGCCCCCTTTGAGTTCTACAAGTATTTATACAGAGGTTATCAACAAAGGACAATAGTTTATTTATTTATTTATTTGACAATAGTTGATCCCTTGCTTCCAATAGAAGAAGCTACATGTAGTTTGCAACTTAACTGCCGACCTGTTTTCTTTTCCTTGCGTGTAGAAAAGTAATTGAGCGGAGTCCAGTGAAGATTGACACCGTCCTGAGTTACTGTCACGGCTCCCTGAATGACAACTCTCTGCAGGATGAGCTGCAGTACTTCCATGTAAGCTCATTAGGTATTGTGGGTAATAGAAGCTGTAGAATTTCTTTCATACCTTAAGTTAACTGTTCTATACTGTTCCACAGTATAAACTTGTCAACTGTAATTCAAAGCCAATTCTATTTTTTGGTCCGATGATTGGATTAAAAATGACCCTGAGGCTTTTTTTCACTTACTTATAAAAAGGGGTGTGGAAATTCATGTTTATGACCTTATACACCAGCAAGCCGATTTGAAAATTTCATGAAGACACAAAGGCTCTAACAAACAATCACCAGGTCCTGTTTGTCTACATAGGAGAGAGGAATAGGTGTTATCAATGCCTCCCCCATCTCCATGGGTCTTCTGTCACACCGGGGACCTCCAGCCTGGCACCCAGCCACTCAGGACATCAAGGAAGCCTGCAGGCAGGCTGCAGAGTACTGCAAGGTTAGCCTGGTATCCAGACCTATTCTAGCTTCCTGAAGTCTCCATTACCCTCTTCACAAATACATGTAGAAGATTTGGCAGCTGAAATAGGTCTAGTTACGAGTTACTATTAGGTACTATTAGAGTTAATCATCAGACTTAAAAAAGAATACTACTGAATTGTTTAAAGTACCGGTACTAAGTATCTGATAGATTTTGATAAGGAGCCATGAGAAAAAGATTGTGAAGTTGTAGATTTTGATTTGATGAGCTCATCAGCTGTTTTCAATTTTGGGGGGACTTTCTTGTACAATGAAGAGTGTACCAATGTTAGCAGAGCCAAATTTGTTGCTGTCTTGTTTAAAAGCTTGGTTTAAATTCTAATTCAGTTTGAATTTTGATCCCCTTTTACTTTTAGAGTAAAGGTGCTGACATTTCCAGACTTGCAATGCACTTCACCTTGAATCAGCAAGGAGTCCCCACTACACTGGTCAGTACTGCCAGGTGAGTAGGTATAAATCATCATGAAGCCTAAGTAGCTATACCCGGGTTTTGGATTTTAGTGGTCAACCTCAACCTGCTAAGGTAGCCATTTGACACAAAATTTGTATTGTTTTTGGGTTAAGCAGCAGGGAGAAGGTTAATACAAGGAGCTTATGTGAATGTCTCCCTGATTCTGCATCTATGCAGTGACCAGTATTATATACTACTCAATGTAACAACTCTTCATGACTTGATACCATGGCATACTTGTCTGGCAGTGTCTATACCACAGTAGTTTATTTCTG